CCTAACTTTAAGACGGCCTACACACTGAAACATCAAATATAATAAAATACTACACAAATCTAATAAAACGAAGTTTGGAATTAAAGTTAAAGAACAAATTTAAAAACAAAAATGCATACATGGTATTCCCAATTTTTAGGCTTGTTCATTTTCTTTATTCTGTTTGGCAGAGACTGCCTCAAAAGAGTAGTTGAAGCCTCAGGAAATCTGGGGGTAAAAAAAATGCAAACAAATTGAATACTCTTATACTTATAGGCTTCTAAATCGAAAACTCATAAACGGGCAACCACCAAGAGCAGGATGAATTTTAATAATTTCGGTGCAATGTCTAAAATTAGTTATGGTAATCTCTAAAGAATAAAATGCAGATACCTTAAAAGTAGTGGTCCAATAAAAGTATTATTTCATATTATTTGTTATCTTTTACAAAATCTAAATATAATTTTAATATAAGTACAGGTATTCCACTTGTAGCAAAATATTTTCTTCATTAACTGTCTATTATTAAAGTTTCTTCCCTCAAGTGCTATGCAGAACATATACAGTAAGATGTAGCTACTGTGAAGGTTAAGTCAGTAATAAAGACGAGCTCCCTTTTGATGGTTATTAATTGGTTACAAAGGGACAATGCAAACTTTTAGATTAAAATTTAAAGAAAAAAAATCAATGTCTAACCCAAATAAAAAAGCTTTACATTACATGTTGATGAAATATAAATCCCTTATTACAATACATAAACCTGCAGTATTTTCATTTAAAAGGTAAAACACAAACTTATTTAACAAATTACCTACCTGTTATGGTAGTAATTCAGATGGGATCCAAACGCTCTTTCTCTACCGATGTTCCACATGTGCCTTGCTTTTCTTCCCTATCTTGTATTTCCCTACCACTTCATGCATCGGAAACAATAACAAACAAATTTTGAATTTGCCTTGTGCCCCATCGCTTATCTGAGTGATGACTATGAGCTGGTCCTTTTCTATAAGTAAACCATTGCCAATGTCAATCTATTGGAAGATAGATAATTATTTACTATTTATTAGTAAACTTTCCTCCCACATTTGCGCATGCTATTAGTATTTGACTGTCAATGGACATCCATGAAAAATATTCACACCCAAGTTATTTATACCATATTTTTTGGTCAACAAAAATATAATTATGCTTGAAATATTTCAAACTTTAATTACAGCATAATTGAAACTTCCTATGTATAGAAATAGAATATGAGTATATTAAAAAGTTCCAGCTATTGATGTTTTTGGGCATGACTTGTGTGGTTATCGAATTTAAAATACCAATTATTGAGGTCAGACAGTTGACAGTTATACAATCATTCATTTTGGAAAAAGAGTGAAGTATATTGAACTGTGCAAAAAAACAAGTCAATATTTTTGGTTGACACAAAATACAATAAGTAAACCAATAGCTGAACAAAGGACGGATGAGCTCCTCAGAGTCAATGGCCAACCATTAATTAGTTTAAGGAATAGGTGTAGTTTAGTCCCATTGTTATTGTTATTATGATTATTTTTATTTTATTTTATTGTTACTATTTTATTGTTATTTGCTTTTTCTCAGTTGGCCTATATTATTTCTCTGTAAAGCGCATAGGGGCAATGTGCAATATGCGCTACATAAATACAACATTATTATTATTATTAAATGATATTTAAAGAAAAAATGAATTTTATTTTTCAAATTTAATGCCTTGGTGGGGCAGGACTTAGGCCTAGGCTTAGCTAGGCTAGGTACTGTGTACTGTAGGCCCTAGGTTAAGGAAGAGGCCTAAGCCTAGGCTAGGCCTATGTAGGTAAAAAAAAAACAACGATTTTTCTTTTGTGTCCCAACGCCCGTACCTGACCTGTTGCACCTGTTGCACTTAGGTTTAGCCTAGGCCTAGGGCCTGGCCTAAACAGTACAGTATACGAACGAAAACACTGCCACTGCACTGACTGACGAACTGACTGAACTATTGATACTTAACTACAAAATTATATCTAGGCCTAGGCTAGAATAAGTAACTAGGCGTAATGTGGAAGGCGTACATTAATGGACGAAAGGAGATTATGTTTTCTTTACTTACCACAATACTGACTGTGCATAGGCCTAGAGATTGGCATGTTCCGGACTCTTCTTTTTTTCCAAATGGCAACAGAATAGGCCTAGCGGCTATCCTAGGCTAGGTTGAGTTTCAACGGAAGAACGTCCATTTAACTAGTACATAGACATTGCTACAGGTATTAACCATTTCAATAAAATATCAGTTTGCGATTATTACCCCAATTATTACTGAACAAAAGGAGGACATCACAACAACAAAGGGTGCAGCAAGCGAGAGAGATGTCGATGAAGACGGTTCCGTTAGCTTTCAAATTTCGCCACCCAGTTGAGGAATGTACCATGTTTAATAGAGGGGCGGGGAAACCATTAAAGACCAGTTGAGTTATAATTCTTATTAAATGCATTTATATAAAACCTTTTGTAATTAATCATTTGTTTTGTGTAGGAAAGTATATATAATATAGCATTTCATACAATAAATAATTTACTAAATCGTGCATCTCAACTCATAAATTGGACCCCTATCACGGCCTGATCCATTGTCTGGTTATTGAAAACGATGTCTCTCTCCCATCTGGAATGATGATTAAAGTAGTTAGGTTTTAAGTTACATTAACAGTAACTTTAAAATGGTCACCATAATGGTGGTTTTTAGTTAATGATTTTGTAAGATTAATTAAGTATTTGTTACAAATATGTGCATTAAATTCATTTTTCATTTCAATTTTAAAATGTGGTGTAAGGCTAAGTATTTGCTGTTTTTAACATTTAATTAAATGTTTAATTTAATGTATAATTTAACTTAAATGTTTAAATTAAATGCTTAATTTAATGTTTTTAACATTTTAACTTAAAATGTGAGCATGCCTATTGATACTGTAACTTATGCATCTGTTATACATTTCCAAACAGATATTCTATAGAATTCCTATACAACTTCTAAAGCAAATGTTATAGATGTCTATAGAATTTTCTATAGAATTTCTATACAGCTTCTAAAGAGAATGTTATAGATTTCTATAAAAAAATTTCCAGAAATATGAAGCATAATTATTTGCGACAAAATGATACACATATTAAACTCTATGCATTATTTAGTTACTCAACATCAGACCATGAGCCAAAAGCAATAGTTTTATTTATTATTTTTTTATTATTATTATTATTTAATAATCATGTTTCATATTCAAAACCAAGCTTCTGCAATAACACATTTATTGAAAATCCACTGTAAGTTTCCAATACATAAATTGTGCAACAAACTAATTTTCTATAGAGTGGAATACAACATTCTATAGAAAATATTAAAATTCTATAGAATGTGTAAACTCTATAAAACATTTCTATAGAATTTTTTTGCCTCTATAGAGTTACATAGAACTCTATATAAAGTTCTATAGAATTCTATAGAGCTCTATAGAACTTTTTTGTATGGGCAGACCGATCTTTTTGTTCAGTCAATATAGACGCGATGAGTTAGGCCTAGGCTAGGCTACATAGGCATAGGGCCTAGGCTCGTAGGCCTACGTCGAAAAATCCTTACGTCAACTCCTGCTCACCATTATGAGCCATATGCCCATTTTCCGAGTGGATAGTCCGATCGTATGACCATTCATGTATCAATCAAGGCAGGAATATTATATTTCGCCTAAAGTAGCCTTGCATTGCACACTTTATTTGAACTTGAAGGACAGCCTTCTGATTCATGGACTTTTATTTCTTTGCCTAGCGCTAACTAACCGTCTGACCCGGGGCACTTTCCCCTTATGGCCCGGACTCTTGGTGCCACTGGGGATTTGACTTTACTTTCTACCTTTCAAAATAAATGAAATGAAATGCAAAATTGTCACAAATGTTTTATTTTTTTTTAATTTTTTTGCAGATTGAAGTGAGTGTTGGTACCTCGAAGGAGGCACAGGATAGCTATCCTAGATACTGAAACCTTAAAAACAGCGACAAGAATAGGAATACCAAATATGGATAGTGTTTTTTTATTATTATGACGTGAATGTTTGCAATATAGGAATGACAAGAATCAAGAATACATTATTTTTTTATCAAACAAATAAGTGTACAATGAAAATAGCAGATTATTATTAATTATAATGTAAACAATTATTGGCTTATATAACATGGCTAAATACTGGCGTTAATCTTTCTAAATCTGTAGGTACTACTACTGGTTGTATCTTATGATCCAATGATTAATTTAAATAATATAATTGTCTTGTGATGTGATATCTTGCCTAAAACCAAAAATGCCTGAAAACAAAAAACACAAGCAAATCAGATTAACAGTTACTATACAATATATAGGGTATTTTTGATTTTTTTTTTTTTTATTGATTTTTTTTTCAATAAAAAAAATTAATGAATTTCATACTGTACCTTGTGTTTTTATATTTGTTGTCATATCCTCTGGATGCTTTACTGTACGACTCTTTATGTGTGTGACTGTATGCACTACTATAAAGACAGGACGCCTATTTAATTATTTTTTGACACGCGTACAAAAATAACAAATAACAAATAACAAGTGCCTCCCTCACCAACTTTTTGAAATACCCCGGACGGGAAACAAGTATTTTTTGTTACTTGGCCTAACTGTTTTAATTGAAGTAGGTAGCAAAAAAGGGAGCTGGAGTTTGTTCTAGTCGAGACATCCGCATCTTCAATTTTGAAAATTTACCAAGATTGATTAATATGCATGAAGTTAGCCAATCACGTGATTTACAAAATCAGTCATGCATACGATATCCCACATCAAATTTGATGTGGGAAATTGCACGCATGAATCGTTTGCCCAGGCCCTAATTCGAAAAAAAAGAAATCGAGTATGGGACGCCAATTAAATTAGGTATGGTGCGCACTAAGTGCAATAAAGAGTGAGTAACCTAAAATTAGGGCCTGGAACCCAGGCTATAAGAGCAACT